CCACCTCTCTCTGGCAGGTGACCCAGAGAGGTGCCTTGGAAGAAAGGCCTGAGATCGGCCCTTGCGACCCTGGGGGGTCCTGGCTCTGCTCTGACACGTGAGGGTCACGTGAGTCAGGACGCGGATGGCGACTGACGGGGGCTCGGAGAGGTCAGGGAAGCGGGTCGACCAACAAGCTAACAAGCTGCAGAGCTGGCCCTGAAACAAGGCCCTGGGACTCGCCGTCAAGTGCTCCGTCCTCCCCACCCCAGTGATCAGGGTCAGTTTTGGGCAGACCCATCAGGAGAGCACTCAGCCGTGTGGTCAGGTAAGGGTGCTCATAATGGCCTTTCCCACACCAGAGAGCCCCTTCCTCTCCCCAGCCCCACCCTTCTGGCCGGGCCCAAGGCTGCTAATGCTCTCAGGTCTGGGCTGTCCCAGGGGGGCTGCACCAAGCAAGGTACCACTGGGTCAGCCTCTGCCTTCATTTGCCTCCCATGTGCTCAGTCCATTAGCCCAGCCACCCAGGGCTTTCACACCACGTGAGGCAGGGCAGCTCCGGCATTTATACACCTCCCTGGATTGAGAGGGCCAACACCCTTGCACCTCCCACAGGGGGCCCCACCAGGATTCTCTGGGGTCTCGGACACTGGCATCAGGGCAGTGAGGAAGCCCAGGGTGGCCCTGACCAGGGAGACACACAGGGCTCGGCCTGAGCTGGGTCGGGCTGAGATCTAAGGTTCACGACGATCGGGCATCCAGGGGCAGGTGAGTGCTCTCTCTCTCTCTCTCTGGTGGGCCAGGGGAGCAGGGTGGGCGCAGCAGGTTCCTTGCAGACCTGCTACTCTAGGTGGGCATCTGTGCCCTGCCAGGTGCAACCTAGGCCCCTGGGCAGTATCCTCACCACTCTGAGCTCCACATAAAATCCAAAATCCAAACTCACAGCCATGGAGCCAATGCTGGCTCATAGCGACGAACCCCTGTGGGTCTGAGACTGTTAACTGTTGATGGGAGTAGAAAGCCCCATCTTTCTCCATTGGAGCGGCTGGCGGTTTTGAACTGCCGACCCCGAGGATTGCAGCCTGGCCTGTCACCACTAGGCCACAACAGCTCCTTTCCTAAATAAAGCAGGGCTGGTAGAACCTACCTGCCCGTATGAAGGAGCCGATGTGTCTGTCGCACATTCTCACCCAGGGCCTGTCACCCAGGAGCCGTGTCTTGGTGGCAGTGGGTTGAGACAAGGTGAGGCCAGCATGGCCCAGGGGAGCAGAACTCGGGGAGGTCTCACCCCCAGGAGGGGCAAGATGGCTTCACCCAACCCTGACTATGGGTGGGGGTGGAGGTGGGGGTGGGTCATAAGCAATGCCCCTCCTGGGTCTCTGTCCTCAGTGGCTCACCTCAGGAGCACTGTCCTGGAGCAGGATGGTGGTCACATCCCTGCCTCCCTGCTGGTCCCCAAGGCCATCTTGGTCATTGATTACTTGTGGGGGGGGGGTGAAGTGGAGAGGGATATGCAGATAGCAAACCTCCAGCCAGCTCTGACGGCTGTCTGTAGGCATGGGTGGTCTGGGACACCCTCGACTCCTCATGGAGATCAGACACCCTGCCGTGAGGGCGGCACCAGGTCTCGGGAGCCGCTGCCCAGTGCCAACACTGACACCCTTTCTGCTGTTGCTGAGACAGCGGGAGCATGAGAAAGAGCAGCATCCTCCACTCCCATCCTCCATCCTCATCCTCCATCCTCCACCCCATCCACCATCTCATCCTCCACTCCCATCCTCCACCCCATCCTCCATCCTCCACCCCCATCCTCATCCTCCACCTCCATCCTCCATCCTCCATCCTCCACCCCCATGG